ACCCACAGAATGTCAGATTTGGCTCCAAACCACCTACATCTTTTTTCCCCTCTTTCTCTTCATTTGAAACAAAAACAGAATCCTCCCACTCCTCCCTTTTGTATTAAACAAAATTAGGGAACAGTATGTACAATAAGGGAGGGAGTTAAGGAGTGGCATTAAAGCCAACGGAGCTCTGGGAATATAATAATAATAATGATGATGATGATGATGATGATGATGATGATGATGAAACCTTGGAGGTCATCTAGTCCAACCCCCTGCTCGGTCAAGAAACCCTATATCATTTCAGACAAATGGTTGTACAGTCTCTTCTTAAGAACTTCCAATGTTGAAGCATTCACAGCTTCTGGAGGCAGGTTGTTCCACTGGTTAATTGTTCTAACTGTCAGGAAATTTCTCCTTAGTTCTAGGCTGCTTCTCTCTTTGGTTAGTTTCCATCCATTGATTCTTGTCTTGCCTTCAGGTGCTTTGGAGAAGAGCTTGATTCCCTCTTCTGTGTGGCAACCTCTGAAATATTGGAACACTGCTATCATGTCCCCCCTCGTCCTTCTCTTCATTAAACTAGACATATCCAATTCCAACAGCCTTTCCTTATATGTTTTAGCCTCCAGTCCTGTAATCATCTTTGTTGCTCTTCTCTGTACTCTTTCTAGAATCTCAACATATTTTTTACATCCTGTTGACCAAAACTGGATGCAGTATTCCAAGTGTGGCCTTACCAAGGCATTGTAAAGTGGTATTAACACTTCACGTGATCTTGATTCTGTCCCTCTGTTAATGCAGCCTAGCACTGTGTTGGCTTTTTTGGCAGCTGCAGAACACTGCTGGCTCATATTTAAGTGATTGTCCACTAGGACTCCAAGATCCCTCTCAGAGTTGCTACTATTGAGCATGGTACCACCTATACTATACCTGTGCATTTGGTTTTTCTTGCCTAAATGTAGAACCTTATTTTTTCACCACTGAGTTTTATTTTGTTAGATAGTGCCCAATGTTCAAGTCTGTCAAGATCCTTCTGTATCTTAAGCCTATCTTCTGTGTTGGCTATTCCTGCCAGCTTAGTGTGGTCTGCAAATTTGATGAGTTCCCCATCTATCCCCTCATCCAAATCATTGATGAAGATGTTGAAGAGCACTGGGCCCAGAACACTTGAGCACTGCCTTCAGAAACTTTCCCTATATATAAGACCATCAGGTTTTCCCAACTGCATGCCCTCTTCATCACCAATGCAATTTTCTAGAAGTGTCATGAAGATCTAATCTGGTACCTTACCACACTTTCTGCAAGGAACTTTGATATTTGATACCTACATCAGCCTCTATGGATTCTTCTTCAGTCAACCTCTGGGGCTCTGCTCTAAGAATCATTGAAAAGCTTTTCTGGCTTCTTGCAAGTCCTTGATTTTTCTGAGTGGGTCCAGAACCTGTCCCAGGATTGCAGTAAGTTAGAAGATTGAGGCACACTGTCATTACTTCTAACGCCTATGCTCTGAGAGAAAGCTTGAGCCAGAGCTTTCATCAAGGCTTTGACCTCATTCTGATCCACAACAGCCTGGGGAGCTACATCTATTTTGTGTCAAGATGTATTAATGGTGCTGCTGCATACCTGCTCTTTACCCTCTGGGCATGCTCATGGCCAACATGCAGTCCAAAGTAGAGAGACAGGAAACCTCTGGGACATTATAACTGACATCTGGAGAGCTCATGAGAAGAAAGCACAGCTGCCATTTAAGAACAGATATCTCCTCATTGTCTGCTCAAGCCTCTCCCCCACCTCATTGTTACCTACCACTTCTTTTTTTGTTATGAGCTAAGAGCTCCTCTCCAACTTGACTGGGTATTATAACAGTAATTAGGGATAGGAGGGTTCTCAATGTAGTGAGACCAAAATGCAAAATATAATGAGAATGTAGACAGAGAATAGGAAGAAAAAGTTGCCCTGGAGGCAGGCAGTAGCCACATTATATCAGTCTATATGCAGGAATGCAGGACAAACCCACAGTCGGGAAGTTCTGGTCACAAAACACTAAATGACTCTCTAGAAATCTGAAGTGGCAATACATAGCTCCTCAATCTTCTAAGACAGTGGTTCTCAACCTTTTTAATGCCGTGACCCCCAACTGGTCGTAAGTCGAGGACTACTCAACCGGTCGTAAGTCGAGGACTACTCAACTAGTGCAGTACCGTTTGCAGAATGGGACTTTTGGCTGGCTCAGCAGGGCAGAGACAGCCTGGACAATTCTTATTGGCTTTGAACCATATTCAAGAGAGTCTATTCTATTGGCTTTCAAAAGCCAATAGAATAAAAGGGAGTAGCACAGCTAAGGAAAAGGGGGGAAAAATGGCGGACTACATTGTTTGGCGACCCCCATGAAATGGTCGTTCGACCCCAAATGGGGTCCCGACCCACAGGTTGAGAACCACTGTTCTAAGATGTGGGAGGATGCACTACATCTGGATCAAGTTTGATTCCATCTGAACCCTGGAAAGCCTTGCCTCACTCCACCCTGAACTGAACCCGCACTGGGCCAGCAAGAACCAACTGTTTCCACTTTTCTGCACGGCACAGGAAAATTTGAATATCATCTGAATATCAAATGAAATGATCTATGATCCTTCAAGCCTGATATTGTATTGTCATTGTAATTGGCATTGTAAGCTGCCCAGAATAGCTTCATAGTGAGATGGGTGGCATAACAAACAAACAAACAAATAACTATTCTGGGGTTATTTATAACCGTAAATCTGATTTCGAATTAAGAGGTGGCTTAACTGTTGGAAGTATATGTATCATTCATATCAACTAACTGAGTTTACCTTTGATCCCTTTTTTTGTTATTTAGTTAAGATATAAATAATGACTGAGTTCAGTTTCTATCAATTTTCTCTTCAGCTGAGTTAAGCTGAGTTAGATTTTAAGATCATAAATTAAAATAGAGGATTAAATATAATTTTTTTTTAAAAAAAGGCTGTCCATTAATAACTGCTTCTTTGAATTTCTCTACAGTATACTCAAAGTGAAAGGATCTTCTCCTTCTGCTCCTACCAATCCCTTTTTAATTGTCTTTGACTTTTGCAAGCATCAAGGTCTTCTCTAATTATTGGTACCTTCCAACTATGCGTACAGATTATTTAAGCTTTAGCTTCATTAGTAGCTAATGAAAGGAGGGTGGGAGAGGGAGATACAAAAATTGCTAGCATTGGTATACAATCTGCAAAGGGAAGAATCAATAAATTCCTCCTCACCACTGCTAGAATTATCAATTGTATGGAAAGGCACCCTTCCCTACCCGTGCTTATTTCTGAGTAAGGAAAAAAAAGGTAGATATTTAAGAGTAGTTTGACTGGGAAAAGTTTTCTTCCACTGGAAAAAATCATGAAGCATTCCTCTGTTCACTCTAAACAGAGTGTGCACACTATCACCTGGAAAAATACGATGTGAAAACATACTTTTGTTATGCGTTATTATGATATTTTATTACTTAGCAACCAAGGGGAATGCTGTGCATATAATCTAATGTGATTTCATCAAAGCTTTTATCAAGATTCTAATGATGTTCTCATTGACAAGTATGTTAAAGTATGTTTTGAATAGTAGCACAACTCCAGTTCCACAACTGGTTGGCTAGGAGAACCATATTAAATGCATATTTATTTATTTATTTATGAGACTTATATACCACTTTAAGTACAAGCACTCTCTAAGTGGTGTACACCAGTAAGCAATGTATATATATATTTACGTTGCCCCCAACAATCTGGGTCCTCATTTTACCTACCTCGGAAGGATGGAAGGCTGAGTCAACCTTGAGCCGATGAGATTTGAACCGCTGACCTGCTGAACACAGTCAGCTAAAGTGGCCTGCAGTACTGCACTCTCACTGCCGCGCCACCTTGGCATATGCCTCCCATCTCTCTCTATCCAGCTATCATTTACAACTGTATGTCAAGTTGGAAAGCAGTAAACAGTGGGATCCTGTAACAATCCATCTTGAGGCTGTTATTATCCAAAATTTTTATTAATGATCTGGTAATGGGATTGATAGGCTGCTTATAAAATTTGCAGATGACACAAACTTGGGAGTATTGCCAACGACAAGGAAGGTAGAATGAAATTCCAATTTAATCCGTGCAGGTTGGAATTTTGGGATGAGAGGAAGAAGTTAAAATATACAAGGCACAGATACCAAATGGGAATGCTTAGTTTGGAAGTACTATAAGATTTAAGTACAGTCAGTTGATCGCAAGCTGAACATGGCCCGGTTGAGTGAAACAGTTGCTAAAAGGCCTAACCCAATTTTTTGATACAAGAAATACTATATGAAGGAGGCATGAAGTCCTTATTCCTCTCTATTCTGCACTAGTGAGACAGCCTAGAGCAGTGGTTCTCAACCTGTGGGTCGGGACCCCATTTGGGGTCGAACGACCATTTCACGGGGGTCGCCAAACAACGCAGTCCGCCATTTTTTTCCCCCTTTTCCTTAGCTGTGCTACTCCCTTTTATTCGATTGGCTTTTGAAAGCCAATAGAATAGACTCTCTTGAATAGAGTCTAATTCTATTGGCTTTCAAAAGCCAATAGGAATTGTCCAGGCTGTCTCTGCCCTGCTGAGCCCGCCAAAAGTCCCAACTGCTGCACCAGTTGAGTAGTCCTCGACTTACGACCGGTTGAGTAGTCCTCGACTTACGACCGGTTGGGGGGTCGCGGCATTAAAAAGGTTGAGAACCACTGGCCTAGAGAGCTCTGTACAGTTCTGGGCATCACATTTTCATAAATAAAAAGATTTCATTAAATTACAAAAAAAATAAAAATAAAAGGCAACAAAGTACAAGTGCTACAGTGCTAAACTGTTAACTAAAGATTAATCATAGTATTGTAACACTCCTTTGATAACATGCAAAAGAAGAACATAGTTGTGAAATAGAGTAGTATGAACTTACAAATTTAAATAGAATTGCAAAATTATATTCTTTTCTTCCAGTCAAGCTGAATAATTACCTGGTTTCACTACCTGTTTCCAAATGTATAAGCTGTGAAACTAAATTTGGCAACTTTAAAAGCATCATCATTGCTGTAATCTGTGAAAGGAAAGAAATACAGAATTTGGATGCAATATTTGTGATATAATTCATCATAAAAATCAGGTGAAGAGTAAGCCATGATCCACAGTTTCAACTATTCCGGGTGATAAGGCAAAGGCTTTCTGTAGGGTAAATATTTGGTATTTGCCATTCAATAGGGCTGAAAGCAGTGGGAAAGGCCTTAAGCCATTTTGCAGACGCATGCATTTTTTACAAATGTTTAGCTAGGACAAAAGATGTACTTAAGTTCTCCTTCTCCTAGCATCATTTCTTTGGAAATCAATAGCCATTCTTTGCCGTTTGACAAATTCTTTAGCTGTTGTAAACCCACTAAATGCAGATCTGTTATAAATAGGCCAATATTTTGTAATTTCTTATCTAAAATCTTCCAAGCCATCTAACAACATCAGTGGGAACAGACTCCCAGAGAAAAATGCTGATTTCAGCTAAGAGGTGATCTTACTTAATCCAAAATCTTGCTTTCACTCAACTAAGCCCTGTTTTCCAATTGAAGGGTGACATTGAGGACATGCGAAAGCTAAAGATAGCTTTCAGAACATAGGTTGTAATGCCTTCAGAAGGGACAAGTCCTTGCAGACACATGCTTGTACATTCATATAATAAACTCTCAAAAAGTATAACTTTGGAGGGAATATATAAAATCCCATTTTGGAAAAAACACAGTCAAAGTCATAGGTGGGTGGGTGTGTCCTCCATAAATATAACACCCATCTATTTTCTTTTGTTCTATTTTATGTCCATTAATTTTCTAGCATTATTTTACTGCTTTTTTCAATGCTTGAAAAAGACAAAAGCCTTTGTCTTCAAATAACTTAGAATGACTTTTTCTTTGGGAGATTAGGTAGTAAAAGCCTGGAGGACTCTTCTGAACTCCAGAGTGAAGAATGAAACAATGGCTGCATTGCCTAGAACAGGACAACATAGCCATTATTGCATGGTAGAAACTAGGATCAGAGCCTTAGACCAATGAGTTGATGTAGATCAGTGTTTCTCAACCTTGACAATTTTAAGGCATGTGGACTTCAACTCCCAGAATTCCACAGCCAGCAATGCTGGCTGTGGAATTCTGGCAGTTGAAGTCCACATGCCTTAAAATTGTCAAAGTTGAGAAACACTGATGTAGATGTTAAACAAAAGGGGGATTAATATACAGCCCTAATTCACCCCTTTGCTTGAAAAATCAAGCACATAAGATGCTCTTGAGAAGCACAATGAACTTTCAAGCAAGAGTTTTTATATATACTCCAAATAGGGACATGAAGCTGGAAATCAATCATAGATTCTTCCAGATTACTTCATAAACTATCCCTTAGGACAAGATCAAAGCTGAGTTGAAATCAACAAAGACTATATTTCTCAGTCAAATACTGTGAAATTAAAGAAACCTACTGGGTTTTTTTAATTTAAGTTTGATTTAAATTAAACATTTAAATTAAGTTTCTCTGATAGGCTTTTTCTTTAAAAAAAATCCTTGTGTCTTTTTCTTTTATGTAATTCCCTCAAATAATTTTTTGAAAATTGAATGATTGCCAAAATATATTTTTCTGAATGCAATTAAGGAATGGCTTTCTTTGGGGCTTGGAAAAAATGTGACTCTAGGGCTGAATTTACACAATGAGCTTTCCTGGGTTTAAGTTAACCATGGTTTCCCCATCTTCTTCTTTGAACCGAAAATATACAGCCAAATATAGGTTGATTAGTTTGTGGTTTACTGGGTCATGTGACATAGTCATTTTTAGCATCTAGACATCAGTTGACTGTTTTCAACACTGATAACTATGCCAGAGCCTACTCTGCTTGGGTGGGTTTGCAGAGCTCTGCTCTCATAGAAATCTATCATGGATGTATTTTCACTCCTGTTAAAAGAAACAGACCCAAACAAAGGTGTGCAAAGAACTATTCAAATTAATGGCCTTTTGAAAGCCTTGGTATTGCTCAGTAACTTGGTAAGAAGAGCAAAGCGACCACCACAAAGGATTGCTGTTCTGGAGTTCTTAAAGCGAGCTCCAGTAGCTATTGGAAGTGGTTTGTTTTTCACTCAAAACACAAATATTTGGGAAGAATTTGGGCCAAATACATGCCTAGTTCCTATCCTTCTTCATCTCTGCTCTCCATTCAAAATAGATTCCAGCACGAGTCTTTTTAATGCAAAATATCTGGTTTGAATTGGGATAAAAGTTTACATATTATTTGTTGGACCTTTGTAAGACTCAAGAATAAATCACAAACAGACAATACAGCTGAATTGGCCCTGTAAATTTTCCTCAAGTAAGACCTACCCTATCTATAGAAAGTCAAAGAGGTTTCAATTTAAGGCTGATTTTTTTTTTTTTTACTATTAGATTATTCCTAGTGAGCCATGTCTTCACTTCAATGACTTCAGTTCAGTTTCAGAACCAGTGTTTGACCTTAAGCAGAATAAGAAGGGTGGGTTTTTTAAACATTTGTTTTGATTTTTTTCTATTGACATCATGGAAAGAAAAATTGTTTATGGTTAATAAAGAAATTAGTATATGCTTTAATTCTTGCCAAGCTGGTTGGTTATTTATATTGATAATTTAAACAGTAAAAGTATTTACATGGCAACTCTCATCACAGAGGAATCTTGAAGCACTTTACAGTAATTGTAAAACAGCATTTCAGATTAAAAACAGAATAAAATAGTATTCTAAAAGACAGTTGTTGGGGCGATAGGATGGGTAGAGAAAGCCAGTATAAAAAATATATTGCCTAGATTTGCTTAAAATAAAGGTTTTAAACAACTCTGAGCCTGAAAACCAATCCAGTTTTTTTAATTTCTTCATTAAGTGAAGGTGGAGCAAAATGAAAAATTCGGCTTAGATACAAAATTGTTTTTGGGATATCTGCTCCTCTAAATGTACGCATGCTTGTGATTTTTATGCTTCCACATATTATTAAGTTAATAGTTAACTGGATTCCCTATTTTTGCAACATTCAATTAAGCTTAAAAGAGGAAATATAGAGCAATGTGCTAATATCATGTTCTCTAATGACAGGCTTACTGCTGGAGACATGTGTCTATTATTCTTCCAGCATGAAGGTTTGGAAAGGGAGGTGGGTTGGACCTGCCCTGCAAATAAAAGCCATCTGCTGGCTTTGTGTACATCTGGCACATGGTCAAAACCAAACTATAATTTCTATCATGGAAAAACAGAAAGCAAATGCCACTTGCTACCTGAAAGCAAATAGGTCCTGGTTATAAACACAATGTCTCTTCTCTGCTTACATCTGGTACAATTATGGAAAATGCTGAAAAAGAACATGTCCTAATCAACCAAAAGGCCAAGCTTTCAAGGAAACCCTTTCCTCCCATGCACTCTCTCCCTCCCTCCCCCCTTTTTTTTTTTTTAAGAAACAGGCTTAAATGCTTAGAAAAACCCCATAAGGAGTGAAGCAGTACAATCATGCCCCGGTAAACAATAAGTAACAAGTCATGTTTAAATGTTCCTTTTCCTTCTGAAGGAATGCAAAATGAAGTACAAAAAAAAGGTTAATGCATTTAGTAGAAATATTTACATAAACAAAGAGTATCTGTCATGAAAAGACAACAAAAATAATTAAGAATATATAAAACTGTTTAATTTGGACAAATTCTGTGATGGATTATGGAGTAGTTATAATTTGGAATTTTGTATTCTGAATCAGGATCCTCAACCTTGGCAACTTTAAGACTTGTGGACTTCAACTCCCAGAATTCCTCAGCCAGCAAAGCTAAATTGAAGGGTCAGGCTGTTTCAGCCTTTTCTCATTATGACTGGGTCTTCAGCAGAGCAGTTAAAAGTGTTTGTTTCATGGCATAATTGATGTGGGTGACCAAATGTAAGGGGTATTTGGGCTACAATTTTGATGTTTAGAAGCCCCAGACATGCGGACACCCGCTGCTCTTAATTTTTACATGATGATTTAGAAAATGCCTCTTCTTGCAAGTGAGCATGTAAAACTTAAAATGATTGCAAAGGATGTGCGTTTGTCCTACAAGACCAAGTATCAGGAACTAATACTGTAGTCGGTGACTACCATGCCATGTTATGCTATGTACGAATGAATCAAAAAATATTGTTTTGATACGTGACAGCCGAAATTGAAAATCATAGCTGCTTCATACTTTTTGGTATTCCAGAATTCATGATGTTGTGATTAAGTTTAAAGAATAATGCTAGTCTTCTTTTCTTCTTAGGCTTACTTTAGAACTTGATTATTTTTCTTCATAATATATGAATAATTTTCTTGGCAAGAATCAGGCATGGGTTTTTTTCCCCTTGTTGTTCTTTATTTTCTCTTTCATCACTTCAGGTGTTGAAGGAGATGCAAAATTCGAGTTCTTGCTTTTCTGGCAGCCTCAACCATTGTTAATTGATGTTACCGTAGAGTGTCTTTAATGTTGTCTCCATATTCTTCTGGGTCTGCCTTGCTTTCTTTAACCATCTCCTTCTTTTGTATATGCATTGTATGGTATGAAATCGCACAACATCCTCTCCAGGTGAACAAACCACTTCATTTGCTGTTTTTGTATATAGTTTAAGATTGGTTCTATGCCAATGCTTTTTCTTATAATCTAATTTCTGATTTTACCTGTTCTGGTCTCTCCAGAAACTTTCTTCAGATATCTAGCAAGGGGGCTCATGCAAGCAAAATCACTTGCTGTATCACTGTAAGGAAAAATGAACATCAGATATAGAGATATTTTTGAAACCTCTTATTACACCAACATGCTTTTCAGAACTGCAGCATCCTTTAAGTGTCATACAAAAAAAGTGAATATTTATAAAGAGAATCAGACCCATTCTTCTCTTTCTCCACCCACATTTTTGAAAAGACTAAAGCTCACCAGATCCAGATGACTCTTGTTAATGTCCTGGTCTAAACGGCGGCAAAATTACCACAAACACCACTTATTATGCCAAAGAAATTATATTAGAGCCAACTAGCTTTTCAAATAGACTTTACTTGTTTTCAGTAATTATTTCAAGGTTCCCTAAAAGCATATTAAAGGTGCTACACAAATTGAAACCCTATACAATACACATCTTTACAATCACAGTTTTAAAAGGCAGGGAACCAACTTGGCATCTAAAGTTGGCTTTCTAACTCCTCATGATCTATATTTTCCATAAAACAAAGAGAAAAGGTTTGGAACTAAAAACAAAGAAATGCTATAATAAGGTTGTGACAAAGTTTAATATTTTTGTCAGAGATTGAAAAGAATGTTGCCTTTTTTCTTCAGTATATATTAAACTTCATTTTCCATTTATGTTTTTTTGTTTAAACTTCTATGTGAGAGACATTCAAAATAATATGGGCAATTTTGGGATGCTGATAATAGCACTCTTAGTATCCAATGTGTATCAATGTGCAGTTCACTTTTGCACATGAATTCTGTAAAATGTGTGGAAGATAATTAGGTATCAACCAATCTATTGATGTGGGGTACTGTCAGTTTCTAATGTTTCAGACCTAAAATTTATTTTTATGTGCACATCATTTGGGTTTTTTTTTAAAATCTGAGTATATTGCTTAATAAACACATTTTTGTATGCAATAATACTAAATATTTGACACTTTGCAAAACATTTTCCTTAATATAGTATAACTTGGATATTATTTTCATTAATATATCCATTTTTAATCCATGTTTTCCTTTCCAGAGGACTGTACTGCAAAATTTGGAGAAGTATGAATTTCAAAAACTAAAGGAATTTTGTTTAAAATGAGAAATTCCCTATAGCTGTCAAAATGATTGCCACATAGTGCTGATGAGCAGAAAGCAGAATTTTTCATAGATTAGAGAACACTCAATATTCAAAAGTCCATTAAACAGCACAGTTTTAATTATGTATAGTAAAGCAGAAGCTAAGATCTTCTTTCATGGGATTAGTTTCCATTTTGGAAATGAAAAAGAAATTGAGCAACAAAACAAAACAAAAACAAAGCATGGTTTGTTGCTTTCCATAGTTTAACTTGAGGGTAAGATAAGAACCAAAGGGTGGAAGCTTAATAGAGGGTGATCTGAAGTTGAAATAAGGAGGAATTTCCTGACTGCTAGAGCTAATCAGCAGTGAAACAGCTTGCTGTCTAAAGATGTGGGTGCTCCATCCCTGGAGGTTTTCAAAAAAAGATTGGACAGTCATTTGTCTGGGATGGTTTGAAGAATTGCGCAGGGATTTGAATTGGAAGACTCTAAATCGTAGGATTCTAGCTTGGCATTCAGAAATATTGGTTGAAACCAAAATATCTTTGGACCAACCAATAGACTTAGCCATCTCTCACTGCTGTTACGGAGAAGCAACAGCTTGTGAGTGTAAGCAGCTACGTGTTTTGTAACATCCAAATGAAATGAAAAGAGAAAATAGAATGTCTATGCACATAGGAAATATTAAGAGCAACATTCTCCCCCAGGACTGCACAGAAAGAAGGGTTTTAATAAATAGCAGAATTGTGGTGCCCCAGTCAGCTCTCAGGCACTTCTCTCAAATCATTTCTGAAGCCACATCGAATATTTTGAGCAATAAGGGCCAAGGCTCAAGATATCTTTAAAGTGAATGTGTGTTTATTCATTTTGACACAAGGTGTGTATAGCAATTTCGTAATTGCCTTTCATGAAGAAATCTGAAAGAAATATCCAGACGGAAGAGGGTTGGGATTGGAATTGTGATACTTGAAACTATCACTGATTATAATTAATGATTGGGTGGGACTACTGGGGATTGAATAAAGTTTGAAAACACTTTAAAAACCCCAAGTCCTGTCTAGCATGCCTGCAACCATTTTCTCTTAATAAAGGATTCCTGTTGGAAGAATTATTCCAAGAGTTCTGTCTTCTTAAGATGTAAAGTGGGGTGGGTCCTCACATTGGAAGCCTTTATTCTAAAGAGCCTATCAGAGGGTCACTAATTCTTGTAGAGCAGGGGTGTCAAACTGGCGGCCCACAGGTCAGATGTGTCATGAACAGGCCATGTCCACTAGCTCCACAAAGGCAAAAAAATGTCACAATACGTCACGATACATGACGTGACATGATCGAGTTTAACACCTGTGTTGTAGTACATTGCTTTTTTTAAAAAAAATCAAGGCATGAACGAGAACCAAGAAAAGATGACATCGCGAAGTTTATCAGCAAATGAATTCAAATGTGAGAACAAGGAACAATGATAGGAAGTCCTGGGATGACAGATGTATGCCTGCCTCAAACAGCAGGAGGCAATATGTGTTTCAGGAGTGAAAACACCTGTATTGTCATGAAGAAAAGATTTCTGTGACAAACATTTAATATGCCCTGGTTTGACATTTGGATTTGGGAGAATTCATTTTACGCTTAACCTTGTTTTCTAGATGCATAGTTTGACCAAGTGACAAAATTAGTGGATCAGAGGAATGCTGTGGATATAAGTTACTTGGACTTCAGTAAGGCATTTGATAAAGTAGATCACAATCTACTACTTGATAAGATAGAAAAATGTGGGTTAGACAGCATCACCACCAGATGGATCCGTAGCTGGCTGACCAGCCATACTCAGCATGTGGTCCTTAATGGAACCGCATCTACATGGAGGGAAACGTGTAGTGGGGTCCCCCAGGACTCTGTTCTGGGCCCAGTTCTCTTCAACATCTTCATCAACGATTTGGACGAGGGGATAGATGGGTAAATCATGAAATTTGCAGACGACACCAAGTTGGCAGGAATAGCCAACACTCCAGAAGACAGGCTTAGGATACAGGAGGATCTGGACAGACTTGAACACTGGGTGCTATCTAACAAAATGAAATTTAATGGTGAAAAAAGTAAGGTTTTACATTTAGGCATTAAAAACCAAATGTACAGGTATAGTATAGGGGGTACCTTGCTCAATAGTAGTAACTGTGAGAGGGATCCCGGAGTCCTAGTGGACAATCACCTAAATATGAGCCTGCAGTGTGCTGCAGCTGCCAAAAAGGCCAACACAGTGCTGGGCTGCATTAACAGAGGGATAGAATCAAGATCACGTCAAGTATTAATACCACTTTACAATGCCTTGGTAAGACCACACTTGGAATACTGCATCCAGTTTTGGTCACCACAATGTAAAAAAGATGTTGAGATTCTAGAAAGAGTACAGAGAAGAGCAACAAAGATGATTACAGGACTGGAGGCTAAAACATATAAGGAAAGGCTGCTGGAATTGGATATGTCTAGTTTAATGAAGAGAAGGACGAGGGGGGACATGATAGCAGTGTTCCAATATCTCAGGGGCTGCCACAAAGAAGAGGGAGTCAAACTATTTTCCAAGGCACCTGAATGCAGGACAAGAAGCAACGGATGGAAACTGATCAAGGAGAGAAGCAATCTAGAACTAAGGAGAAACTTCCTGACAGTTAGAACAATTAACCAGTGGAACAACCTGAAGTGGTGAATGCTCCAACACTGGGGGGCATTTAATGCTATCAGAATTCAACTAACTATGATGTAAGCATGCTAAATATGAGGAATACAGCTTATTTTATATTCTATTTCTCTATTATCAATATTGGCTGATATATTAGAGTCTGTAGCATTTGAAATAGTTTGGATCTGTGTAATTAAATTTCCTTACTTCCAGTGGTGTGTGTCTATGCACATATACACGTGCACACAGACAATAGCTAGGCTGGGTAACCTTTTGACAGAAAAGTGTTAGACTTTTCAAAGACCCATAGACAAGATGATCAGTCAGGCTTCATCACACAATCAGGCAGAAACTGGATTTTCCATTTTTCCTAGGTTCAAGGATGGGAATTATAGTGATTTTTCATTTCTTTTAATTGTGTTAGGATTATTTTAGGGCATATATTACAGTGTGTGTGTGGAGTTTTGTCTTAAAATATCAGACAAAACAGAGCTGTTTCTTGTAATGATTATTACAGAACTTCCAAGGACTGCAATCAAACTTTTGGTGGCCACATGTGATCCTTTGATTATTATTTTTTTATTCCTGACATAGAATATGATGATATTTTCTGCATTTGCATGATAAAAGAACTTTTGCTTTTTTTCTTTTTAGTTCTAATTATTAGTTCTAATTACCATCTGATAACTTTATAATTATTGTACATTCAGAAAAAGAACCTGGAAAAAACAGAAAAACCAGGTTGCAAATAAAAGGGAGGTTCACACGACTGTAAAATTAGCAGAAAAAGATTTAAAAGGTAATAACATCTACATATTAAAATATAACCAGTATAACTTTATGTAAATTGTTTATTGAGAAAAGAAGAAGAAAAGGTACAGCGTGTCCTATCCGGTATGGAGAAAAATCAGAAAAAATAGGAAAAATAAAAGCTTAAACATTATAGTTTTATGTTAGGATTATAGCTAAACTTTGGACATAAACAACCCCTTTTCTAATATTATAATCCCATTATTATATTGAGATAAATTCTATATCACATAGTTTTATAAACATGAAGCAAGTTTTGATATTGATGTGTACATTAATTTGCCATTCCTGAATGGAAGAAATTAGTTGTTGTTTCTAATAACAGGCACAGTATATCCTAGCAGCTATTAATTCCATGTGCAATTCTCATTCTGTGTATTTTGTAGGCAGATAAAATTTAATCATAATCAGTAAAAAGATAAGAAGCTAAAGAGAAAAAAAATGACTTTTAGAATCTCTTTTTCTAGTATGAATAATTT